AATTTGGGGATGCCAAAGACAATAACGATCATGCTTCCTTGCCGAACACAGGCTGAGGCAATTGGCGATCGCAATCGTGAAACCAAAACGGGCAAAGGTCGCACCACCGCCCGTGGAAGACGACCCAAAGCAAGCAACGGTCGAGAAACAGCAAGTTTCCGCACCCATCGCTTCTACCCAGCCGGAGGAGAAAAGCCCGGACAAAGACATCGATCCAGCAACTGAAGTGATCGAAACGTCTGCGACAGCCGACTAAGCATACTCGCACAAACAATCAGTAATACGAGATGGCTTGATTTCCGAAAGGAATACGTAGGCAGCTCACCTAAATACGAGTTCAGCTATCCCCCCCCTTCCAAAACGGGGGGGGGGGGGGGGAGTGGGTGCGTATACGAGTATTCGTATACTCCCAAATTTTTAGAACTTTCGCTTTGTAATCGAAAAATTTTCGAAACTTTTTTAATAAAGACAAGTTAGAACATTATAAAATCTCTGCTACTATCGAAAACACAAAAAACGAATTCCAAACATCCGGAAATCACTTCTGCAGTAACAACTACTTAATCGTTTCTACGAAACTTGTACACCAAAATATTTTCGGAAAGAACCGGCGAGACGTCGCCTAAATTCTCGAGAAAAAATATTCCACTAAGTCCGTCCACGACTATAAAAACATGTACGCTCGGCGATTGGCCCCGTCGAGCACGCTAGCCGTCCTAAACAAACGCACCGACCTATTGATCCGCATACATCCGACTAGGATAAAATAGCGCGCTATAAAAGAAATCCAAATTTTTGGTCAGCACTTCCGGGCAACTTAGAAATTGTTCCCGGTGAGATGCTCTATTCCAACCATACGAATCGTAAATGCCGAGAACCTATCGCGGATTCTAAATCGGTATGGGATCAGGTTAAAACCGCAACAGGCAAAACGAAAGCCGACTCGTCATCGCATAGCCTCAATCCGAAAGTAAACCTAGATCTTCCCTTAAACCCAGCACACTGGTCTCTAACGTCTCAAGGCATGAATCGAGATCCTAAAGGCATGTCTCTTCGCCCACATCTAAACACTCGCAAAAATCGAAACCTTCCGAGTTAACGAACCGGACGATTTACACCAAGAGTTAGATGCGAGACGACAACTCGTATTCTTCCCTCTACATCTAAAACGAAACGCAAATTTCATACTTAGAAAATATTTCTTATTATAAAATCTTCAAATACACACCGCCCAGCGGTAGGGATTCAAAGCCACCAACGGCCAGTCCCGGAAAAACAACAACGAAATCATAAAAGCAATAACATCACACATCATCAAGCGCAGACGCCGAACCCTGGCCAATGTTAGCATCAAACCACGTTTGGTCAACTTCGCCGTCCGCATCCAGAATCTCAGGTCCGACTTCGACCGAATCCGGCGACACCACGATGGGGTTCCACTGATCCCACATGTGCGCCCTAAGATCAAAAAGTTCGGATTGCATGTTTCTCTTCTGATCCAGGTGCCCCCTCTGCACGGAATATTCTTTGACATACGAATACCCTTCATTCTGGGTAAGAGACAACCCATGAACAACGCCACGACATTCACGATAATCACCATTCGCCCGTTGAGCAACTTCAGCGTTCGAATAACCAGTTGCAAATCGCTCACGGTGGGCCTTCATCTCCTCAGCAACCTCTCTTTTACCTGCACGGCAAGCACGACAAATTCTTTGGTCAGAAAGCTCTATGGCACGGCGAGAGCTAACTGCACACTCATCCCTCACACGAGCTATCTCCCTCTCAACCTTTTCTTCGGCTTGGTTAGCCTCAGCCACCGCCCGAAGGCGAGCAACTTCTTTTTCGGCCATATCCGCTCGAAACTCGGCAAGACGAGCTTCAGCACCACGGCTATCTAGGGCACGGCTCATGACCAAGAAACCCTGCCAAAGAAAAGAAATAAGCGGAATCGGCCGATGATAAAATCGCACAAAAAAATATAAACACACAAACCTCTTAAGCTTGTTCAGACCCTCTAGTGAACTCCGGAACTTGATTAGGATCAACGCCCGGAAAATTGGAGGTCGACGATCCGCCCGCATTCGCCCAAACACCTTCTTCCGCTTGGCTGCCAAGGAAGTCCTTGAGAATATTGTCGGGAGAGGCCGTGCGTTCAGATTTTTCATCTTCAACAACCGAATGTTTATCCCCTCGAGATCTTGAGTTACTCCTCCTCGTTGAGGGAACATACGGAATAAATTCTCCTATGAACGGATCGTCTTCATGAATCGGAGAATCCGCGAAAAGCCGAGATAGGAAGAGAGCAACCACCTGTCGGACACGCTGTGGAGAGAAACTGCCCCAGCCAACTTCACCGCGTTTGAGTGAGGTAGTCATACTCGGGAGATCCACCGGATGCAGAGGTAAAGGGTTGGTCTCTACGGAAAATAAAAACGAATAAGCAAAAAGGAGGAAATTCTTATGAACTCGAATCACATACCTTTCCGACCCCACACGGTCGTGAAGAACGGGATGCAATCAACCTCGACTGACACGCTGTCAATACGAACATAGAAGAAATTTTTCTTCCAAGAAGAAGAGTTCGATGAACAACCAGTAACGATTTCTGCACGAGGGTATAAAGTGATCCTCTGCGTCTTCTCTGTGAGCTTCAGTAAAACTTTGAGATGGTCAACGCTGAGGGTGATTCCCTGCTTGTATCTCAACGTCAAGAGACCAACGAGTTGTTTTAGGCCTAGGGGAGTCAATTGACTAATCGATAATCCCAGCCTATGAAGATATCGAACAATGATCTCCGGGATCGAAAACCATAAATGGCATTGCTGCAAAAATGCATTGTAGCACGTAAAAAAGCCATCAGGCGCAGCCTTGTCGCTCTCCCCGGCAAGTGGGAGGCGAAACTCGACCGCTTCTGAAACTCGGCAAAATTCTCGCAATAATTCAATACTGTTAAGAGGAGCTGAGTTCAGACGTTCAGAAGCTCGATCAGCATCCGACAGAGCTGGAACCCAAATCCCAGGCCTGGCGGACCCCGACTCATCTCCTAGTGCCCAATAAGCCGCACGATCAATTGGATCGATCGATGGAAATAGGTACTCCTCTTTCGGAACCGAAACTAGAGGTTGCGAGCTCGTTCCCTCGGAGTTACGAGAATCAGAACTAGTTGAGGAACGAGTTCTTCTTTTTGAAAACATACTTGAAAACTTTGAGAGAAGCAAACTTAAAGGAAGTAGAGAAAAACTTTTTCTTGGATAAGTTGTGGAGAGTGAAGTAAAGAATTCAAAAATTTACTCCATATACTTATAGGAAAAAGTTTACTATTCACCTTTGGACTTTTGGCCATTAAAGTTCCGCCTAATTCTACCAAACTCGCCAAACAAGTTCAATCCGCTCGTAAGAACTCTACGATTCTAACGAGCTGGGGGGCTAACTGTTGGGGTCAAAATCGGTACGACGGAATCAATAGCCAAAACTCCCTGTACAAAAAAAATCGTTTTATAAAACTCGAAGAATCATTTTATAAAACTCGAAGAATCGTTTTATAAAACTCGAAGAATCGTTTTATAAAACTAAAAGAGATTTCCGAACAAAGGAAATCCGCAGAAAACTCGGAAGATCGTTATCTCGGGAAACAGAAACAAACGTCGATTACACGATCGTCCGATATAAGCACAAAACCGCGAAAAACTGAAACCGCCGTAAAACACAAGCTAGTCACGTCCCGACTAGCTCGCCGTTGGGCGAGCTAGAAGCTTCCCGGGTAGTTCGGCAAACGGCGATCCGGTTCGACTCACCGTACGTCAAACCAACCATCCCGAGCCTCGATCTCCCGTATCCCCGATTCAAGGCTTACGTCCTTTGATGCGATCATGTTCCAAACCACGGTCGAAATGTCTCCAGTTCCGTCTCGATCCGTCCTATCCTTCGAGTTTTACGATAAAAACGGTAAAACCTTGTTTTCTCGAAAAGGACTCGAGGAAATCGTATAAAACGGCAACGGTTAAACGAAACACCGAACATTGCCTAAACTATACGATTTATTCGAGATTTTTCGTAAAAAACGTAAAAAAACTCGTTTTTAATAAAAACGTCGAGTGAATCGTAAAAACGGCAACGATTAACCGAGAAACGAACATAGCTAGACTTTACGATTAACTCAGGAAATTTACTAAAAACGGCATCGGATCAGGAAACGATCTCATACAAAGTCTCAAAACGGATTTATCGAAAAACGGCCCGGAAGGTCCTAAAACGCGATAAAAGCCCATCTCGCGATCTTAACAAAATCTAACCCAAAGATACGATAATGTTTTGACGGTTTACTCGCAGAAGGAAGATAGATGTCAAGTTTGAAGATGAGTGGCAAGTTTGAAGATAAATAGAAGATTTCCGCGGGAAAAAATGAAGGATCGAGATAAATGGAAGATTCCCAATAAACTCGATTTCGGGCCAAATGGAAAGACTAAAACCACCTAGGAGGGGAGTATATGTAGGAATGGCAATCAATGTACTGGACCGCGGGCCTGGCCCAAAAGTGTTTGTCACGGGGCGGGTTTGGGCCGAGAAAGTCACAGCCCGCAAAATAGCGGGCCTTCTGGGACAGAGCTTGTGAGGAACCGGATCTTAAGCGGTAAAGCCCACAGTCATCCGCGGGATATTCGAGAACCCGCTTACCCTTCCACCTGAAAAAAAAACAGAGAGAGTGAAAGGCGATGGCGATGGAAATGAGATTTCCACCGTGTGAACTGGGAAGAAACGGAGCTCCGATGATGGCCGTTTGATGTCCGACGGTGCTTCTGGTCTCCTCTTCGTTGTCGATCTGCAGTAGAGGAGCTAAACCAAGAAGGCCGATTCTTCTGCTTCTTCTTCGACGTGTCTTCTTCTCTTTCTCATGAGGTTCTAAAATTTGAAGTTTATTTGGACTTAAAATATTTTCTCTAACTCTTGTATTTTTTTCAGGTGGATAAAACCGATCTGTTAGATCCATGCAATAAAAGATGATTACTTTTGATTCAAGCTCAGAGTAGAAGTTGGTTTTGCCATATTTGTTGTCTGCCTTTATTTCATATTGAGAAGGAAGCAAAGAAAGCAAAAAAAAATACACGAAGGTGAAATTTTTAGTCAAAAATAGCCCAAAAATATTTTCTTGTGAGTTTTGACCTTTTTTTTAAAGGTTTGCTACTCTTGGATCAGGAAAAGATGTCTTAGACAATCAGATTATAGATGAAAATTTACTGCGACTCGACTTGGCTACCATCCGAGTAGCAACTGATGACTTCTCTCCAGGCAATCAGCTTGGAGAAGGTGGCTTCGGTGTAGTTTACAAGGTGAGTAGATTGAGTGTGTCTTACGTAATCATCTTTATTACATTTGTTTATGATTTGTATGTTTCTTGATGATCATTAGGGTGTACTTGATTCTGGAGAAGAGATAGCCGTGAAAAGATTGTCAATGAAATCAGGACAAGGAGACAATGAGTTCATAAACGAAGTCTCATTAGTTGCAAAACTTCAAAGAAGAACGCCAAAGGGAACAAACAGAACAAGAAAGAACACCAAGTGGTCATAGACAAGAGAATGCCTCTGCAAATGTCGAAAGGTAACTAATTTGATTTCTTTCATGGAAACCCATATCGCAGCTATCCTCGCCCTAATACATTGTTCTTTTTTTTTTTTGCTGGTTCACTCAGTGAAACAGCAGATCCAATGGTTCATGTTTGGGCAGCACATGAGGACAAACAGGCTTGACGATATTTCTATTGCAGATATAGAGACTATAGTACGTGTACGACGATACATCGGAGGTGGGGGTGGAGATGATAATGCGGACAGTGATAGTGACATTGAAGTTGTTGCTGATTTCTTCGGTTTCAACCTCTGGTGTCCTGTAAGTTACTAATATCTTATTGCAGTCAAGCAACTGATGCTTACTATCTTCCTAGGGCATCTGATGCTGTGCACGTATACAGTTCCTTGAAGACTGAATATTGATTGTCTTTCTGACTGTGTCATTAGTTGAGCGGGTATAGGATAAAAGTTGCTGGAAGATTTTCACCCTGTGTGCACATGCGCGGGTTTGACCTTGAGGTGTTTGTGGAATTGAATCAACGTTCCAGAAAGGCAGGTCTCTTATCCTTGTCTAAATATTTGGTTATTCCTCTTGTTTTCTGACCCTTTTTTTGTTCTGTTGCCTTGTTTCTTTATATGCAGGGGCAGTGCCTTAATTGTCTGAAGAACTACTCAGTTGAACATGTAATCGTGGATCCGTATTTTAACCGTATCACATCTAAGGTATACATGGGAAAACTAAAATTCTTGAATATTTTGTATGTTCGATATTGAATGGTTTTATTTCCTGCTCGGCAGATGCTTCATTGTGATGAAGAGGTGACTGATATTGAAATAAAACCTGATGGTTCTTGAATATTTTGTATGTTCGATATCAGTTCTTCATAAATCATGGGATAGTTCATTACTCATTACTATGTAGAAAGTATAGCTTGGCTAAAACATATTTGATTATTTTTGCAGAAAATTAAAGAACTGATAACAGTTCTGGATCAGAGGAAAGATGAATCTATAGAACGTGCTTAGTCTTCTCATCTCTGTTTCATTCCGATCTAGCAGCTTCATGACCTCAGGTTAGGCACTGTCTTATTTAGAACTAGTAAGATTTTATAGAACTTGATATCTTGCTTAGAACTAGTAAAAATTCATAGAAGTACTCACTGTTTTGGTCAGAATTTGATAGAATTGATAAGAGAACTCACTGTTTTGGTTAGAAATAGTTAGAATTGATAAGAGAACTCACTGTTTTGGTTAGAATAGTTAGAATTGCTTAGAACTAGTAGATAATTGATGTCTTGCTTTGATCTGTCGTTTGATGCATGTTGTTTGAGAATGGTGTTGCTTGTCCTCAAGCACGTTTAAAATTTTTAAACACAATAAAATTAAATAAAAATTAATTAAAATATTAATTAAACTATTAACAAATTTTAAAAACCCTAGCACTTAGCTTAGGTACCGTAACTCCGTAAGTTAGCGTAGAAACCTAACAACAACGACACAGAACTCAGAAGTCAGAAGATCAAGAGATAATGGTATCAAGGGATGATTCAGAAGATCAGGAGATCATGGGATCAAGGCACGAGTCAGGAGATCAAGAGATGCGTACTGACTATTCTCCACTGAATACTTGNAAACCCTAGCACTTAGCTTAGGTACCGTAACTCCGTAAGTTAGCGTAGAAACCTAACAACAACGACACAGAACTCAGAAGTCAGAAGATCAAGAGATAATGGTATCAAGGGATGATTCAGAAGATCAGGAGATCATGGGATCAAGGCACGAGTCAGGAGATCAAGAGATGCGTACTGACTATTCTCCACTGAATACTTGTGACTTTGAGACTCAAAATCTCATAGCTAAACTTGCTGCAGAGGAAGAAGTAGCGGCTCAGGTTGCTGATGTTCGTGAGAGAGATGGAAAGAAGCAAGGAAGCAAAAGAAAGCTCATCAGTCTTGTTGATTCAGAAGATGATTCTGATGTTGAAATCACTCCACTAATCCAAAAGAGCAAGCCTCGCAGACAAACTAGTTTTGGAACAGCCTCGCAAAAACCCATGTTACAATCCACTCTAGATCGTGGTAGTGGCTCGTCCGCACGGGTCTCCAGAGGTAGTGAGAAGAAGTTTGTTCCTTTGAAAGCAGTGATTCGTGGAGGGAGAAGAAAGCCATCAATTCCGCTTTCTTCTAGCCAGTCGCGAAAGAAGAAGATGGTCCAAGAGAAGATACCGGATTTTGATGATGAGTTGGAAGAAGATGAGTTGGATATGGATGAAAACGATTCACAAGATAGAGAGAATAGGCAAAGATCAGATGTGTGGACCGATTTTAAGGTGGTTGATAAACCCAATGGGGTGATGAAAGCTGTATGCAAACATTGCAACAATGAGTATGCTTGGTATTCTCATTCTCATGGAACAAGTGGGCTGAGAAGGCATCGAGAGAGATGTAGAATGTTTCCAAGGAATACTGGAAATCAGCAACAACTCAATCTCGAGGGGAAAGTAGTGAATCGCAAATATGATCATACCGTGTTTAGGCAGATGGTAGCTAAGACAATAGTCCAACATGATCTACCATACTCTTATGTGGAGTATGAAAAAGTGAGAGAGACATGGAAGTATTTGAATGCTGATGTTAAATTCATATGTCGAAACACGGCGAAGGCAGATGTGTTTCGTTTGTATGAAAGTGAGAGAGAGACACTGAGGAGGGAACTAGCTAATCTTCCGGGACGAGTCTCTTTCACCTCTGATTTGTGGACGTCACTGAAACGTGAAGGCTACATGTGTGTGACTGCACATTACATTGATCGGAACTGGAAGTTGAACAGCAAGATCCTGACATTTTGTGCTCTACCACCACCACATAATGGTGTGAATGTTGCGACTCAGTTTCTTCAATCTCTGGATGAGTGGGGTATCGGGAAAAAGGTGTTCTCTCTCACTTTGGATAATGCTACTAGTAACGATTGTATGGAAGATATTGTGAAATCGCAACTGCTTTTGAGGGATGATTTGTTGTATAAAGGAAAATTTTTCCATGTCAGATGTTCAGCTCACATACTTAATCTCATTGTGCAAGATGGTTTGAAGGTTATTGGAGACTCTTTGCACAAAGTAAGAGAGAGTATTAAGTATGTGACAGCATCACAAACTCGGGAAGTATTATTTGCTAAATGTGTGGCTGCTGCTGCGGTTGAGGATGATAAGGCGGGGCTGATATTGGATGTGTCGACAAGATGGAATTCAACATTCTATATGCTTGAAAGAGCCATCAAGTACCGTAAAGCATTTGTTAAGCTGGAGATGTTTGATAAGAGAGGGTATAAAATGGCGCCTACAGCTGAGGAATGGACTCGAGCTGAGAAAATATGTCGGTTTTTAGGGCCTTTTGCTGAGCTTACACGTTTGATGTCAGGTTCTCATTACCCGACTTCAAACTTGTATTTCTATCAGGTTTGGAAGATCCATGATTGGCTTAGAATGAATGCAGATAGCGAAGATGAGATTGTCAGAGACATGGTGCCACCGATGAAAGAAAAGTTTGATAAGTATTGGAATCATGTTAGTATTATTTTTGCAATGGCAGCAGTCTTTGATCCACGTTTGAAGCTTCCAATTATTGAGTTTTGTTTTGGGAAGCTTGACATGAGTACACGTGATGAGAAGATGAAGAAGTTACGCAAAAAGCTCAGTAAGCTTTATGACTCGTACGACAAAAAATCCAAGACAAACTCACCTTCTACAGAGCCACGTGAGACGATTCTACAAAACGTTGCTGCTGATGGACCAAAAGGAGCGTTTGAGAACTATGATGTGAGTGTTTCTTGCAATCTATTACATTTTATTTTTAATGAAAAACTATTTTTGATTTAAAAAAGTTTTATTTTATAGGACTTCTTTGCATTTCGCAAAGTCAGTGGCATTGTAAATGGAAAAACAGGTNTCATCGGTTTGGTGATTTGTCTGCAATGGCCTGTGATTTGCTTAGTATTCCTATAACAACAGTGGCTTCAGAGTCTTCGTTTAGTATTGGATCGCGGGTCTTAAATAAATATAGAAGCCGTCTACTTCCAAAGAATGTGCAAGCTTTGATATGCACTAGGAATTGGCTAAAAGGATATGAAGCTTATGAACATGGTAACATAATATCATATATTTTATAGTCTTAGGTTTCAGTATATTTAACTAACTTCATGTATTCTTACTTGCAGAAGATGAAGTTGATGGTAAAGAAGAGAAGCTTCCATCATTTGAATCGATTGTTGGTGATGAAGTTGAAGAACAAGAAGTGTGATTTGTTTGTTTTGGTGTTTTGATTTGGTGTTTTGATTTGGTTTTATTTATTTCTGAAACTTTTATACATTATTTTGCTACCAACAAGAAAGAGACNTTCATGTATTCTTACTTGCAGAAGATGAAGTTGATGGTAAAGAAGAGAAGCTTCCATCATTTGAATCGATTGTTGGTGATGAAGTTGAAGAACAAGAAGTGTGATTTGTTTGTTTTGGTGTTTTGATTTGGTGTTTTGATTTGGTTTTATTTATTTCTGAAACTTTTATACATTATTTTGCTACCAACAAGAAAGAGACTATGAATCTATGATTTTGTGTTTTGGTTTTTTGTTTTATTACATTGGTATTCTGGTCAAAATAACATGAAACATTGGCTAGAGAGAGTATAGATTGGCTTGCAGGGAAATAATTAATTATGGAGCAATGTATACAGTAAACACACGAGCAGTAGATCATAACTATTGTAAAATATTATTTATCTTCGAGTGATTAACAAATGAGTAATAGATCATAAACTCATTTTCGAGTGACTAGCAGTGAGATAAATTATATGTATACAGTAAACAAACGAGTAGTAGTTCATAAATATTGTAATATTATTTATCTTATCTCAAATTTTTTTGTTTTTATGATTATGTTTGGCTCGCAGGGAGAAGGTGTAACATCCGATGTACCGCGGGATGACCCGCAAAGGCTTGGAAGGACTGGCGGTACGGGATTGGGTAGCTATATTCAGGACCGCATCCCGCGCGGGACAGGCCCGCCGTGACCCGCAAAAAGACAAACCCGCAGCGGGACGGGACGGGACGGGACGGGAGAGCCCAATTGCCATCTCTAAGTATATGAGCAAGAGGCATAGAGCAGAGGCAGGGACACGATTTTTCAGAGCTTTCACCACCAAACTTAGCATTTAGGAATATTTCCGTTTTCTGTTAGCGAGCTGCGTCTCAACTAGGGTTTTTGGTCTTAGACTTCTGGAGTTAGGGATTTCGCCGACAGCTCACGCAGCTAAGGCCGCTCTCGGTGTAACAGAGTTCTTACGTAGATTCTAAATAAAAACCTTCTTGCTCTCGGTTTCGTTCATTCATACTTTAATTTTAAGTTCATCGTTTTCTTAATTATCGTTGTGTGGTTCTGCAGATAGCCGGGTCGTCTGGAAACATAGGGTTTACTCAAAGATTCCTTATTTACGATTCATTGACAGTAGGTGAATTTCGGTTCCCACATGAACCTCTTGCTTTGGATATTTAAGTACTTTTTCTTACATGAATTGTTCTCTCGAGTTGTGTTTGGTTGTGTGTGGATGGTTGTATTCATCTCAGGTACTTGTGAGACGCACAGATTAAAAAGGGGGAGATTGAAGATGTATGGTGCAGACGGAGCTGAAGTAGTTCATGGAGCACGACATGAACTACTGAGAGAAGTGCAGAGTCGTGAGAAGAGGAGGAAAAAGGAAAGAGACTTTAAAGAAGATATTTTTTATGGTGGGCTTTAAAGAATAGAAGTGAAGAAGAAGCAAACGATCTAGAAAGAGGAAGTTTGTCTTATTCGCTGTAATAGAAAATGGAAAGTTTCCATTAGGTATAAGTTAGGATTTTCTCTCTAGGTATAAAGAGAGGGTCGACTGGGTTGTAGTCGGCCAACACACTGGGAAAAGCTTTTAGCTATAGAGAGTTTGGTGAGTCCGAGTAAAGTGAGACAAAAGTCTAAGGGTTAGAAGTTATTCAACGACTGTGGTAAGTCTTGAATAGTTTAGGCTAGTCAACAAGTCAAGGTTACCTTGAGCTTGATTGAGAATTGCTTTTAAGAGATCTTGTAAGAACCTTTTAAAAGGATTTATCTAGTCGTATTTTCTTGAGAAGAATAATCATATCTTACCGTGTGTTCTAGTTTCTGTACTGCAGCACTACTCTTACACTTACAATTGGTATCAGAGAAGGTACTTGTGTTTTTTTTAAACAGGTAAGGATCCTGCGGAGAAAATGGACAGCTTTAAAGAGTTAGTGGTGCATTCCAAAGTCATTTTGGAAGTTGGAAACTATGGGTTCTGGAAAGCCAGAATGAAGGCAACAATCAAAGGAATTGATCCGCTTGCGTGGAAAGCAGTTGAGTCTGGTTGGAAACATCCTGTTGCACGGGGTGAAGATGGTGAAGATGTTCCTAAAGCAGAAGAGCTGTGGACTGAAGACGAGAACAAATTCGCAAAGTTCAATGCACAGGCTCTCACTGCTATTCACTGCAGTGTAGCAAGGAAGCAATTTGAACTGATTCAGGGATGTGAGTCAGCAAAGGAAGCTTGGGATATTCTTCAGAGACACTTTGAATGAACTAAGGCCTCGATTGGTACAACAGATGATAAAGCAGTAGCACTATACTGCAAAAGCAGTATGCTACAGAAGCTGTATGCTTTCATTAAATTTTTCAATAAAGTGATTGGCAGAGCATTAGCAGTATACAATTTTAAAATTGTCATAATAGTTAGTAAAATAATATATTTCTTTTAAAATAATATATATATATATATAATATATATTAATAATATATAATTTTATTAAAAATAATTAATTTTCATTATGTAAATTTATATTTAAAAATTAATTTTTTTAAAAAATATTAATTTTATTGGATATAACATATTCCTCATATATAAAATTATAGTTATAATTTAATTAATTATTATTAAATTATAATAATTATTAAATAAATTAATTAATTAATTATAATTTATATATATATATTATTATTTATTTATTGGCAGAGCACTAAATTACTCATATATAAAATTATCATAAAAGTTAATATATAATTTATTTATTAGTGTCTAAATAATATGTTTATATCGATAATATATAAATTATATTATGTTATGTTTGTTATTAAAAATAATGAATGATATATGTAATTATATAAATTATATTATATTTTAAATATGAAATATTGTTCTTTTAAAAATAATTAATTATAATTTTTATTTTTATTTTTTAAAATATAAATTTATATTTAATTATAAAAGTATCGTTTATATTTTTAAACAAAAATAAATTAATTATATATAAATATTATTAAATTTTATATTTTCTATATGCAAATGCTCTCCCAAAAGCTCTATATGAAAGCATTGAGCAAAAAGCATTTTGAGAGCATTTGCATTTGGTAAATGCTTTTCTAAATGCTTCTTTGCCAAATGTTGATTGGATAATAGAGAGCATAATGCTTATGCTAATGCTCTACCAATCAACCCCTAAGAAGAGGTTAAGTTCGAGAAGAGATATGCTGGATACTCGCTTCGAAGACCTAAAGATGGATGAGAATGAATCGATTGCTGATTTCAGTTCCAAGCTAAGTTCTCTGGCTCAAAAGGCTCTCACTCTCGGAAAGAAGTACAAAGAAAAGAAAATGGTGAAGAAGTTCCTGAGATGTCTACCAGAGAGGTTCAGAGGCCATAAATCAGCCATGGAAGTTGCTCTCAACACTGACGACATAAGCTATGATGAAGTAGTGGGAATGATGCAAGCTCATGAGATGGAGCTGGACAGTGGAAAGAAAGTAAAAGGAATTGCACTTACGTCAATTGAAAAACATAATTGATCTGATAGCTACTCCACCGAGGGAAAAGAGTATCAACAGTAATGAAGATTCAAATTGGATATTTACAATTTATTTTTGTTATGTTTTGACTATTTCACATAACTATGTTTTCTTATAAAAGAGTTTATTAGACTATCTTACAATTGTTTGCATATCTATTATCTAAAAAGCAAATACTCACTATTTACCTACATTGTTTAGTTTGATGAGTTTTATATATTAATTTTAAGTAAATTTATTTTATTTTTATTTTTTTTTGTTAATCGCCCATCTAAACTAGATCAAGTGGTGGCCAGTCGAGCTGATTCTCCAAAGAGCATCTCTGTTTGGGCGGGTCTGATCTATATGCACTACAAGAAAACTCGTCCACTACTAGAACGGGTTTTCCTCGTTAGTTCCTAGTAAATGGCCTTTTATTAGGAACTTACGAGGAAACGCGTTTCCTCGAAACACGTTCATCGTAAAGCCATTTTCCTCGTAAGGTCGTAGCTAATTTACGAGGAAAGCTTTCCTCGTAAAGGCGTGGTAATATTTTCCTCGTAAGCTCGTAGTAAACATTTCCTCGTAAGGTCGTAGTGATACATTACGAGGAAATAACTAGAACTGTTTACGAGGATATTACTTGGAATATTTTACGAGGATTTTGCTTGGAAATGTTTTTTTCCTATTAAAAAAATAATTACAAATAATTAATTTATTTTTTTAAAAATAAAAAAAAATCAAATTATAAATAAAAATAAAAAAACAAAATATTTTATAAATAACTAGATAATATACAATAAGTTTTTAAATTCATAATATATAAATAAAAATAAAAGAAACTACGGATGCTGGTCGTGAAATTGCTGACTGAACAAAACGTCGTCCTGGCTCGGAAAATCCTCTCCATAGTTGGTTGCCGGCTGTGACTGTAATGGCGGAGGATGTTGGGTACTTGGAATCCCTGCACGTTCCCGTCTCTGACGCAACAGCTCCTGCACTTGCGGGTTTCCAACCGCCATAATGTCGAGGATATCGGTGAGAGAAGTGACATTCTCGGTGAGCGAAGTCACTTGAGACTGCGTCACCTGCAACTCTGAGCGCAGCTGATCATTAACATCGTGCTGCTCCTGATGATAAGACGATGTCGCTGCAGGGACATCGTTAACCGAGTCAATCCCGATGATACGCCCCTTTTTCCTAGGGGCGACCTGAAAATAAAAATATTAATAACATTAAGAAAAATTTTAAAAATATTAAAAATTAATAGTAAAACAAATTATTTACCTCCTCGTAAATCTTATCCACGTCAACAGTGGATAATATGACTGGAGACCCAGTCTGCTGAGTCAGCTGGATCTGGCGCTCGTCAACTTGGGCAACAAGCTCGTTGTAGATCCTCTCCGAACCAGGATCTACAAACTGCCCAGCCTTGTTCCGGTGGGTCCTCTCGTACAGGTCTTTCAGAGATGGAAGAACTCTTGTCTCCTTAGCCTAAAATTAATTTATAAAATTAAATATTAATTTAGAATATATTCAAATAAAATAAAAATTAAATTGATATTAAAAATCATCTTACCATGTCAAGACGAACTCCCCCGTGAGGTTTTCGACCCGTGGTGTGAAGCACCTTCG